TAGAAACAGCAGGAGAAGTGTGGGTTGGAGAATGTCTGAAATGTCCACGTATTACTGCTGCATAAAGAGTAAGTGGTTAAATTTCAGACGTTTCTTAAGAACATTTTTTGGGTTTTTTTCTCCACTTCAAGCAAGTAAATTTTTGAGAAAAAAAAAAGACAGTCATCTGTAAATTTTTACACAATTCAATGGATTTTAAGCCTAGCAAATCAGCTACCACCTGCTCTCCAAATCCCAGTGTGGGTTGCATCAGGAAAGCGATCCAGTGCAAACATTCCCTCACCAAATCAGTGTGCAGACCACCGACGTGGTCATGCAAACACCACCCCAGCTGAGACGGAATAATGACCGAGCAGAGAAATGTCAACTTAAATCACTGGCACATAGAAACGACTTACAAACTAAAAACGGCAAAAGCTTCTTTACTTCCCAACATTTGTCCAAGACGGAAACTTCTTTCCCTCCTCACAGCTGTTCAACCGCACCGCAAATCTACCTCAACTAATGCGACACACTGCCCGCAGCACTGAACACAGCATGCAGTCTCTCATCATCACATCCCCCAGTAGGTTCCACACCTGCCTGACCCCACGTTCGGCCCCCAGTGTTTACACCCCAGAGAGTGGCAAATTTTTTCCAATGTGATCACAAACTCATTCAGAGTGGTGTGCTTCAGGCATGTATTTAGTTTACACTCAGCCTCAACTCATCTGCGTCTGCTGTTTACCAAAACACCTGCTCCCCTTAGCACTTAAGCTATCTGTCTGTCTGTCTGTCTGTCTGTGTGTCCGTCTGTCTGTGTGTCTGTCTGTCTGTCTTTCTGTCTGTCTGTCTGTCTGTCTGTGTGTCCGTCTGTCTGTGTGTCTGTCTGTCTGTGTGTCTGTCTGTCTTTCTGTCTGTCTGTCTGTCTGTCTGTCCGTCTGTCTGTCTGTCCGTCTGTCTGTGTGTCCGTCTGTCTGTCTGTCTGTCTGTCTGTCCGTCCGTCTGTCTGTCTGTCTGTCTGTCTGTCCGTCTGTCTGTCTGTCCGTCTGTCTGTCTGTCCGTCTGTCTGTGTGTCCGTCTGTCTGTCTGTCTGTCTGTCTGTCTGTCTTCATGGAGGTTACTTGATGAACGACTTATCAGTTACCACCCGGGATCGAACCACTGATATTCTTGCTGTAAGGCAACGGATCTAACCACTCCACATCATTTCAATAAAAAAAAAAAAATTAATTCATCCCATCGAAGAGGTTTGAACATGTGACATCCCTCTCACAAACCCATAACGTGACATTTTCCTGATGTGAAGGATGTGAAAATGAAACATACACCCAAGGTGAAACATGCGATTTATTATCTACAGCTTGATTTGTTTGACTGCAGGAGAAGATAAAACTTTAAAGGAGCTCCTTGTAATTAACAGATCAGAATGACTTCTCCGTCTCGCTGTTGTCATCCTCGGAGCGCTGTGCTGCTCAATAACTTCAACATTAAAAGCCTGGAATTAAAATGGAGGTTCAAAAGGTGGTTTCAGTTTCACTGTCATAATAGCGGCCTACGGGACTATTGAGAGAGATGAGCCTTACAATCATAAAGCTAAATGCAGGTCTAATTACAACGTCTGTGATGAGTTGTCTTGGCCTGAAATCATTTGCAGAAAAAAAATAATACCTGGTAGAGACCAGCTTGAAAACATGTCACGTTGCATTTAAGAAATAAATAAAAAGGTGTTTTCTAAGGCAGCGGTCCACAACCGTTTTTGTATCACGACCGATGTCTGAAAGATGTTATAACGCCAACGCTAGGTGCAGTCCACATGGCCTCACTCGTTCACTTCACGTGTTCGTCAACTTGCGGACGCATCTCCTGCGAGTGGTCCGTATTGTGGCTGGAAGTCCGTAAAAACTGATTTCTACAACTCACTCAACGCAAGTTCAATTTTCCCAAGAAGACAAAGCAAAACAAGAGAAAAAACCTTTAAAGTTCACTCATTTGGAGTTGACCACAGAGGAGAGGAGAAACACACAAGCCTTTGTGAAGCAAATATGTTTTTAATGAGCCATTGGGAACATGACCTTTAAAACATCTGATGGAGTCGTTGTACATGTCTGTTCCATCAGACAGCAAATGCCCACGCGAATTAAGTGGCTGTTACAAAAGCTGTTTGCTGAACGCCACATTTACATGTTACATCTGTTACAGAGGAGAGCACAGAAACAATGGGTACTGTAAGGAATTATTTAAATGAGTTGTCAGAACACAATACTTTCAACATGTTCCATTTTGCCTTTATTAATTACACTTACGCTGCACACACACACACACACACACACACACAGGACCTGGAGATGAAAAGGACGGAGGGAGGGGTGGAATAAATAAGATGAGGAACGAGACGTAACAACAACAGGAGTGGAGAGTCCTTCAGCGTATGAGTAATATCACCTTAATTAAACGCAGACTGTGAATATATAAACACTTCTGTGAAATAAGACTTTTAAGGGCACTCAGAAACAAGACCACAAACCATTTTAATCAGTTTGGTCCAATGACCTCTTTTTCAGGGGCCGTGAAGAAGGGAGCTGCCTTACACTAAATTGACCTGGGTTTGAGCCCCTGAGGAATGGTACACCTAATGGCGCCACCTGTGGCAGCCATGTATATATATATATATATATATATAACATACAAATGCTAAATGCTAAAATAGTGGTAAAAATTATTTAATTAAACATGAAAACATTAGGTTTAGGTATACAACATTATAGTATTTACATGTGTTTTTGTAACAGAACAAACCTTGATCAGAATGTTTCTAATATGACAAAAAAAAAAAAAATTTAAGTATCAGGCCTGATACTTATAATATCCTTATCAGTACACTTTCATTAATTTTCTCTTCACCAGCTTTTGTATTTGAGACCCACCTGGTTGTGTAGTATAGGTTTAAATCCCACTGCTATGAATGTTTTCCTGTAGTGGTTGGTAAAAAGTGTAACAAAACAAATGTTTCCGTTGTTCATTGTGAAAACAAATACTGTTCAACAGTTACATGTGAATGATTTCATGCACTGCATGTCTGCCTCATGACAAGGTAATTGGACATTTCACATGAATGAGCAGTATTACATGCGTGTACATGGGTGTACATGGGAGTACATGGGAGAGGGTACTCTTCCACGAAAAACACAACCTTATTGTGAGGAACTGACACAGACGTCGCGTCAAATAAGACCAGATTCTCTTCAAATTCCAGTTTAATTTTCATGTCGTTTCAGACAGAGATAATGACACAAAAAAACACGGTACATTAACTAGTGATGTTTATGGTCTTCATGCCAGGCCTTCAGTCGAGACTTTGTGGGAACATTTGGCACGGACACATGAGGAAATGAAATCAAAGTTGTTTTTTTTTCATCTTCCTACTGGGCCACATATGGAGACCACAACCATTCACACTCAGACCTGTGGTTGATTAACTGAGTCCATCTCATCTAATCCCTACTGTGCATAATTATGGGATGTGTGAGAAACCCGCGCACACACACACCGCAGGAACAGAGAAGGTTCATATAGAAGGATCAGAGATTGAACTGTCCCACCGTTCTTATATATATATGTGCATACATCAGAATGCAGCAGTAATACAGAGGCTCAGAGTCTTGTTGTCACTTTGAATTTTGACACTGTTGTATGTTGAACACACACGACCAAATATTTTTTATATTTGTCCTTTTTTTGAAATGAAAAAAGTATGTTCGAAAACCATAGAATATCATACGATGCAGACTATGTACAGGCAAAGCCAAGCAACATTTGTTTTTGCAGGAGTTGCCTCCAAAAGTGAACTAAAATTAAATTTACACGTGAAATACGTCCACAGACGGTCGTCGGTCGTCGTCTTATGAAATCAGTATGAACCACATGATGTGAAATTCATCTGGTAAAAGTGTCAGTGTTCAGACTTTAATGCATTGACACATGTTGAACTGGTGGATGCGGAGCAGTGCAGACACTATTAACACAGTCCTCTATGTAAGACATGTCAAGAAATGTAGGCAATCACGAGGTGTTCATGGAGATTTATTCTGTTTTGTTCCCTGAGTCTGAGGCATCATGCACTGATTCTCAGTCACACCATCTCAAACGTTCATCTCCCAACTGTGGCTCTAATATATAAATGTCAGCCCTCCAGAATTTAATTTAATGTGCTTGGTAGCTACAGGAGGCCGCACACACACACACACACACACACACACGGAGGCTGCCCGCTGTGACAGCCTCCAATTACTGAGTGGGGGCATGTGGGCAGGTCGTTGAAAAGGTCAGCCGTTTTCTGCATCTGTGTATATCTACCATCCATGGCCTCAGTTTCACCACCATTATCCAAAATGTTTCCCTCTTAATTTCCTTCAAAGTCAGTGGTTTAGGTGTGTCCCACACACACACTTTCTCAGCCGCAGTTGTTTCCAGCGTTTCTTTTTTGTTTTTAAACACCAGCAATAAGGAAACATCGTTGCTGTGTCCAGAGCAGTCAGTCATTTTGTCACTGTTATGTCGACCAAGGTCAGCTATCTCTTTGTGGCCTCTTCCAGCGCGGGGCCCTAGGCAATTACCTAGGTTACACACTTGGTTAGTAGTTAAGTAATCAAGTTAGTGTTCATAATGAAACCTGGGCCTGTTTAGTTGAACACAACATAGAGATACCCACAGGAATTGAAGAAAGACAGACATTAGGATCCTTCCGCAGCAATTGAGTTTCTAAATTCTTAGCCACAATTGAATCGTATTGGCAAACAATGACAACCATTTTGCAGAAAATGAATAATAGTTTTTAATCAAGTTAGGTGAAATTGGATAATGTTCCACAGCACACAGCAGTTGGTAAAATGAGTTAGCCTATCAACTTTAAAGTTTTATTCTTAAATTTCCTCCTCTGCTTTCCTCTAAATTCACATAACATCAAAATTCAATTCTCCATTGATGCCAGCTCCCCACAGATGGGATTTCAGGCTGTGCCATTAGTTATCAATCATATGTGACATTCTCACTTTGTTTGTCTGAGTACATTGGATAAAATACAAGTAAAATGTGGCACTCGATCACGACAGGAGCAGTGTTGCATAAAAAGGTCACTGCTACTTCTCCATACAAAAAAAACCAAACAGAGGAGAGACAGAGAGCATACAACAGTGGTGCACAGATGTAGAAAAGGTTAAGAGCTCATCAACAAAATTGTCGTATTATGCAAGACACTTTGTGACAAGTTCGTTTTGTTTTGTTTTTTTCTCCAAGATGTTGTTAGTATCAACATCTGGACCAAATCAGAGACCAGGGAATATCATTAGCATATTAGCACATTATTTATGGCCCAGCTAATGCAAACAGCAGTACAATACGCGTATATGTGCAGATAACTCCTTATTTTAAAAAATAAATAAATAAATAAGGCCTGTGATTGAATTTTAAACAAAATGCTGTGTGCCCCAGGCCTCAGCAGATACTCACTAAAGCAGTTGAACCTGATGAAAGCCATCTGTGGTTTCTCTTTCCATATTTTCTCCTCTTGGGTTTCATAAGTTGCGGTCCATTTACTGTCCATAATTGAGACGTACAATGATATTAGACGAGACCCAGTCCCTGAAAACATGTCTGAATTAAAACGTCAATACCTGTGTCAGATATTACAGTTCATTTGCAGAAAGAAAAAAAACACATCTGCTCTCATTAGTACAGATCAGTGGCGCACAGTAATTAAGAATTTTAACAGTTATATAACTGTTATATAATAATGAAGTTAAGTTTAATGTTCTATAATAAGTAGAGCACCAAACAAATATAAAGGGAGGTGTGGGTAGACCCCAGAGTAGAGAGAGTGATGCAATGCAGTGAGAACTTGATGCAGTAAAGTACCATTCCATTTCGTCAGTGGTGAGTACTCACAGCTCAGTACAGAAGCTTTTATCAGATTATTTTTTCATGTGGTAAAAACTTTGCACAAAGACGTCAGAGTGAAAGTTTTAACGAGTTCACACGATGATAAACCATAAGACAATTCTTGTTATTTTTCTTCAAAAAGTACAATTTTAGAGCTCCTTCTCCCCCAATGCGCATGCGGAATAAGAGTGTAATGTGGAGCAGTAATTAAATAGTGCAGAGAGCACTGGTAAAACAATTACGTTTGACAAATCTGACGTTGTAAATGAAGGGAAATGACGCTGCTCGGACCTTCGTGGGACAAAGCCAATGAGGAAATGGATGAATTACAACGAGCGCATCGTCATAATTTCATTTCAGTTATTTCCCCAGAGTCCCTGTTTTGCTTTGACTCCTCCCTCTATCAGACGACTCCATGTTCATGACGTCACTTTGTTGTCGTGTGCTCTCCTTTGCTGTCTGCTCAGGCGCTGACGCTGCAGACGTCGGTTACAGGTAGAAAATACTGGATGAGACATCATGGTCCTGTAGAAATACGCATAAATGATTAGATTTTGGGGGCAGGGGGAGTGTTGTTTGTTGGTTTGTTTTCAGCTCATTTAGACCAGCACAAGATGTAGATACTTGTGTGAGACAATGTCCTTAATTTCCTGAAAGAAACAGCAGAGGGATTAACAAAGTTCTATCTATCTATCTACCAAGACCAAACATACTATTCAAGAGCATTTCAACTTAACTATAAAGATGTTTCTCCAAGGACTCAAAACTCTCTGCTCTGACCCTTTACATCGCACTCATCTGTTTGATATCTTCTGTGATTAGCATCGGTACTTGTAAGTGTTGAATTTTTCATATGAATTTCGTTTCTTTATCGTTTTAACCATATTTGATTCGTTGAAACACCTGAGTTCCATTGGGGGGGAATTATCCCTGTGGGTATCGTTTCCTCGAACCAGGAAATGTATGTGGGGCAACACTGCCATCTATTGGAACAACTCCGTCAAAATAAGGTATATAAGGTTTGGTCTGGTATGAGTGTACCTGGATTAGCTGTACCTGTGGGAACATTTTTTGGAAAATATGGCATTGTTTTGATATTTTGCAGGTTCCTTTAGAGTATTTTGAGGTTATAAACTATGAAAAATTAGAGTCTCATCATAATTAGTGAAAAACTTTTTTTTTTGTGATCATACTCCAAAAATGTGTTAAAATACCTCAACTTCCCTGTCTTCATTGCCCAGTAGAGGCCGACCATTAGTCCAACCACAGCACCAGCAAAGCTCAGTGGGATCAGAACCTGGATGATCAAAATGACACTTGTAATATCCTGTATATTTCCTACCTGCTTACCAGGTAACATTATGATGAAAGTATTCAGAAACCAAATCAATTTTTCTTTTCCTACCATGTAAATTAGGACAGTCTTGTAGTCCTGCAGGTGAGTCATAGTCTGGTTCTGCCAGTTGTCCCATTTGGACAAAGTGCCTTCATAGTCCAGATCAAAAATCCCAGAGGGTAAAACTCTGATGCCCCAGTAGGCCCTCTTCACTCTGCGGAAGTTTTTGTCCTGCACATCACAGCGGTATGTTCCTAAACAGGACAACGGTGACACTGCTGTTGATGAGGTGTAGTTTATGTCTGTCTACTCTGGCGTAGCTGAGTCTCATAGATTCTCTTGTTAATCATTGTAAACACAGGAGTACCCCAGGGAAGCGATCTCGGCCCCAACATGTTTCACACACTGGACAGTTTACACAGCCTGTGATCCTGTCCAGACAGGACAGACAGCAGCCTGTTGACTTATAGTGATATGTGATTACCTGCATCCTTCTCTCTGACAGGGTCCAGAATCACACGGTCCAGCAGAGGCGCTTTCCAACGTGCAAATAGTGTGTCATCAGAGGTGATGATCCCTGGGGCATAACGCCAGAACACCCTGCAAAAAATTCACATTAGAACTTTTGAAGACCTTTTAACATTTTTTTAATTGTGATCTCCTCCTTTTCACGTCTTTACTGACCTGGGGGAGAACTTCCCTACTGTCTCCACAATTTCTCTCAGACAGTCGAACTCAACCCTCTGTCCTTCAACGACGGTCATCGTGCTGAGGCCACACTGCCAAGACATCTGACACTTCACCTTGCGGACACGGCACACATCCGACACCTTCAATTCAGCCACATTCACAGTATTATTAGGATTTTCTCTCTCTGACAGTTTCGTTATCGAGCTCTGCTGTCATTTGATTGGCTCTGGGTTACCTCCGTCTTGCCTCCACTCTGTGGGTCTTCTTCGACTGCAGCTTTACTGTCTTTAAGGAGACACAGAGTCTGGGCTTTAAAACCCAGCCCACAGGTGGCGCTGCATGGGGTGCTTTTGACGACAATCTCAACTGCTACTTCATCCACGTTCTCCAACTTAGCTGCGTTGAAAATTTGGAGTAGGAGGCAGAGGAAGAGAGGAAGGCCAAGTCCTCCAAATGTACTTTGCATTACAAAGTTTTGTTTGGTCATTAATTTACTTGTTAATTTGCCAGTATTTCAAAGGTTGGGCATGTTATAAAGAGATTCATGGACTGTTCAATGTCGTTTTTTTTAAGGATCGATAGAGGATTGTACGGTTGTGTGACTTTCTGCTTCCAAACCTCTGCAGAGTTCACACATCTACATCTGTCACAGGCTTCGCAGCTCATACTGGAAGCTGAAGCAGCTTTTAACAGTTGAAATTTAATCTTCTTTGGGACTTTACAGCAGTCAGTAGCAATATTGTAGCATTACTGCCATCTTTAGTCACATTATCTTTAGCCTCCCTTTAATCCTTTGATATTTTTATCTTCTTATCTTGTACGGATCGAAGTGAAATGCTATTATTATTTATTTACATCTAGCCTCACGCCACGAAACTATTAATAAAGAAAATAAACTAAAAACTGAATTTTTTTTTTTTTAAAAATCAGTTAGTCTGACGTTCAATACACATTCCAACGGCTTCATGAAACTGCAGTTTCTCAAAATTACCGCTAGATGTCAGTCAAACACAAGAGAAAAGTGAACGCGTACTGTTGATATTCATATTAAAATATAGTTACGTTTACAGTATTACAATACACATACAATATATATGATAACATGTAATTGTATAGTAATAAATTATTACTATAGATATATAATATTAATATATTTTGTTATTATTCTAACTGACTATTAATGCGGTTCTTGTCGTGATGATTCATGTTTTTATTTACTCCCAACATGTATGCATTCAGACGGGAATAATGCGCACAGCGATTCACACAGATGAGTCGGCAGCTGTGTAGGACAGAAGACTGTCCATTAGTCAGTAATGTTAGCCCAGTTGGCAGAACAACAAACCTGAGGATGGTCACCCACATGTCTCATCATGTGTTGACAGAGACAGAGAGAGAGAGAGAGAGAGAGTGGGGGTGAGGAGGCACTACAGGGACAGAAGAGTAGTGGGTGTACGACGAGACGAATAAAGGAAGAGTAACATGAGGAAATGGAGGAGTGACACGGTATCTCACTCTGACCGATCTTCATATCCTCTCACAAACATACAGTATATGTTCTTCCGGTTAAACTTTTTGATCTTTTCGTTCGTTCGTTCATCATCGACTTTTCTTTGTTTGGCCGGTCCACACTGTGATTTATTAACAAATGTATGTTATTGATCCTTAATTTAGATAGTATAAGATAGTATATTTATTTTTGCAAGGCTATATTTTTGTTTTTATATATACTGTATATGTATATATATTGTATATATGTGTGTGTATGTGCTATACATGTGAATACATTTTTCTTTATACTGTATGTATTCATATATGTCCGTGCATGTACGGAGCCCCTTAAGGGACATGAGAGAGAGTTGATAAATACACGTTTCACTTCCTCACCAGAAACTGTTTCCCCCATGTCCCTTTGAGGGTTCTATGAATGGGAGTATTTTTGTAATTTTTGGGAATATTTTTTGTAAATTCAAAGTCTATCTCATGTGTAGAAAGCTGGTGCTTGACCTAACACAAGTGCACCGCACCGTCCAGTCATGTGTCATGTGTCACGTCAGGGGTGGCAATTAGTGAAAATGTAAACATGTCAATGAATTATTTTCTCAACAATGTGAATCCATATGTTCACGTCAGACGGAAGGTTAACAAAGTCTGCACACAGTCATTTACAGTTCCCTTTTGCATCACCACGTCATGACGGATGTCAGTGAACTTTACACGACCGGTCAGAACTTCCACAGCTACAAAGCAAAAATATTTAGATTTGAAACCCTCTGAAGGACAAAATGAAAAAAAAAAAACACAATTAGTAGTGGAATTTTAATGTTTGGTCTCATGTTAGCAAAAAGGAAATAGTTCTGCCCATAATTAGTCACACATTCTGACGTGATGTTTAAAAGGTAACACTTTGTTGTGGAGTAACAGTAAGAGGCGGGTGAGCTGTATGAGACAAAGACCGGACGTGTTGCTGTTTGCACACAATATGACAGTTAAATAAAATCATGAATTATGATTATGAATAATACTAATAATAATAATAATTTCTTGGCTTTGTGTGTTTCTGTGTTTTCATGTTGTGTCATCAGGACCTAACATTTAACCAAACCTTAAATTTATTTAAAAAAAATACTTATCATAACAAACACCTTTAAATACTTGTTTTCTGCGTTTCCTCTTAGTAAATGTTTGTTCTCGTTCATATTCTGAAGTTAATATTCTGTTTTCTTTTTCTGTATTTTACTACAGTTTGGGAACTTCTCTTCATTATTCTCCGAAGCCTTTTATTTTTAGATGTAGTTGTTGTTGTTAATGCGATATTTGACGTCACCACCTCTTTCTGCTTCCTAACCGGTCTCATTTACCAACCAGATGGGCTCAGTAATAATCAATGATCACACTAACCCACAGATTCTTTGTTAAATCAGTGAATAAATAACACATTCATTTAGAAGGATTTGGGTTTTGTCACTGGTTCGTAGCCACAGCTTATATTCTGGTGTTACAGAGGGTAGTAGGTTGGTATTTTCATCACCGACTCAGCCTACGTACGTACAGGAAGTGGAACCATCAACTCCCTGGAGGTCTTTTACATGGTCTCCCCAGGACATGGGCGGATGACATCACTGTGTCACACAGACCACCGTGGGCAAACGGACGCAAAAAGTATGACTCAGACTTTGAAGGTCTTCTTCACGCTGAATTAAAAATGCTTTGATGATGAAATGAAATATCAAATAATAAATTATCAACAGTCAGTGTTTTGATAGTTTAGAAAATAAGGTTTTAATTATATTTTGAATTTATAATTCATGGGACATCTGTCAACACCTTTTTGATATTAAAATTAAATTGTTTCAATATTTTTTAACTAGTGATAAAAATTAAAAAATATATATTTGGTAATGTTTAATGTTTAGGATTTTTCCTAATTAAAAGTTATTTGTTACGATCACAATTATTCATGATTAATCCACCGCTGCCCTGGGATTGATCCAATATTACTTTATGTTTAGGATTTTAGGGATTGATCCAATATTACTTACTTAGCCCTAATGTATTGAACCACAGTCTATTTCACTGTTTTCCAAAGACTGGGTCGCGACCCTCAGGTGGGTCGCAAGAGTTTTTTGGGTTTTTTTGCGTCTCGCATCATGTCACAAACCAGGTCGCTAAGGTTTGTGACTTTTAAAATATGGGTCCCCAGAAAAAAAGGTTGGGAAACTGGTCTATTTGATGCATTTCAAAACAACCATTAAACTGAACAATGGGTGGCGGCTTATTTCCATGAAATACTGCAAATGTGTTAATGATCAGTTAAAAGGAAAAAATCTGTGGTATCTGCATATGTCAGTTGGATTTTTACATTACCCTAACATTCATCTACGTTCACCTGTTGATGTTCAGGAAGTAAACCAGAGACTAACTAGCATTCACACAGTCTACAGCTGCTCCTCACTTTTTGCCTCCCCCTGAGGAGCAGACGGAGCAGAGGAAGGTGTGTGCGCAGCACAGTTACCGCAGGGAAGGCCTCTTTGTGTGATAACGAGGTGAGGAGCGTGATCGGCGACGTCGTTTGGGCCAAGCAGTGAGTCAACTCAGACACATGCTGTCCTCGTGCCTACAACGAGGGGCGGGTGATTTTGTGCATCCAGAGTTTACACCAGTGGGGCGGATGGTGAGCAGGTGCTGTTGTGTTATATCTACGCGCACCATTAGACACGAGGAGGCGCATGTGCCCCCAGGAGATTGTACTGTACGTCTGCACACATGCTGTCAAAGGTGCTGCAGCTCATCTGTCACAGTTTGACAGATGAATCGTGTGGGTTTCACCCAGCATTGCTTTTGGCAAATCGTTAACTGGATGGTTACAGCCTGGTGTTATACACGTAAGCAACGAATAACAAGAAACTTTTAGATTTCCATTCGAAAGGGTTTTTCTCTCATTTTGCTGTAAAGCTACTTGTTCTGAGCAAAATGGTCACAAAAATGTTTTTTTCTTCCTCTTCTCATAAGCATGCTGTGACAAAATCAAAAAGTACAAAATACTTTAATAATCCCCTGGCACTGGTGTCAAACGAGCTGTTGCAGAAACTTTTCAAAGGATATATTCCACATGTAAGAAAGGTTTGGAATATAAGAAAAAAGAAATCGAACATGATCTAATTTTTCATTGTATAAAAAAGTGTTTCCCAAACCTTTTTTCTGGGGACCCATATTTTAAAAGCCACAAACCTCTGCGACCCAAGTCAATAGACATTATTCATAAACTCCTGGGAAACATGAAGTGAGACGGCCCAAATAAAAATCTCTCAACCCACCAGAGGGTCGCGACCCAGTCTTTGGAAAACAATGGTATAGATAGATAGACAGATAGGGATTTATATTTATATTTACAGGAAACATAATCACTGTCTCATTCAGCAGACTTTTTTTTCACCAGCTTTGTTGATTCATATGGGTTTGTCCATCTCTGTGTGTAGGTTTTCTATCTTCAACAGTGAATCAGAGAATTGAGCATCAAAAATGACCAAATGTGGACAAATGTTGCTTCTTGTCGCTGCAACCTTCTGTCAAAGCACCACCACATACTGTGTCCTTTTTTCTGCTGATGGCACCATTTCATTGTGCCTCTGGGCGTCAAGTAGTACTTCACCCAGTCTCTGCCTCAAATAGGCATTACTAATGAGTACTACTGTCACAGACAAGTTGTTCTACAACCCTACAGCCTTTGACACTTTTCTTTTTGCTCACCAGGTGCTGATCATGGCCTAAACACGTGATGACATTATTTTATTCGTAATGTTATTTAACTTCCTTTGGTGGCAGCCTGATACACTCACATGAGGACAAGTTGGACAGATAGATAGATAGACAGATAGATAGATAGATAGATAGATAGATAGAATGGATGAAGGAAAGGAAAAAATTAGAAAGATACCACAGTCTTACGTCATCAGTCTCAGAGTGTAGGAAAACGCTGTTTGGTAAAAATTGCAGTGACACTCTCCATCTGTTTTGGCCTCAGTGGCTCATGTCATGTCTGTGTGTCAATGAGTCTCTATTCTCAGGCCTGATGATTACCAAAATTGGTGTGGGGCAGAAGCCCGTTTATTTTAAGCTTTCTTTTCTTTTTCATTACCTCTGAAGATTTAGAGTTCTGTCAAATTGTCAGAATGAATTATAAACTATTTTCAACACAGCATGGCTATAGCTGACATTAAACCAGTTTTTGTTATATAAAACATTTTCACCAGCAGTTCATATTTGACATTGGTCTCTTGTTTCAATTTACTCACAATTTACTACCTCAGAGTGCAATCTGGACCTGTTAAGTTGAACGATGCTGATATACTCACAGGAATTGAAGAAAACACCAATGATCTTCAATAGTTCAATAGAGTCTCTGTGTTTGTTTTTTTGTTTTTTTCTTTTTATAGCTATCTGCTGCCACAAATGGAAGGGTATTGGTAATTGTGAGGAATTCTGTCAAAACATTTTGAGGTGTAATGGTTGTATATTAAAAAATATATACATTTTATTTGAACTAAACTTGATTTTAAACATCATTTGTTGTTTTTTATTACTTTTCACCACTTGGGAAAAGTGTACATTTTGATGCATAGCGACCCCTAGATTATAAACACCACAGTGTGCAGTTTTAGTTGATCCTTCGTTATGGAGGCCTTCTTTAGCTACGCTGGCTTAAAAAAAAAGTTCTGTCAAAAAAACAACACTGTAAATGTTTGAACCATCACAGTCCCAGTAAAGAATGCACTGTTTCTACAGAAGTAACGTCAGAAATGCACACGTCCTTGAGACACAACGTCAGCACCCCCAGTGGTAACTTCAAGGGTAAATCAGAGAGCAGTGTTCCCTCACCCCCATGCACCGCCAGAGTAACGTAAGCAAACAGACAGTGGCATCACTCGTCGTTCTGGATCGTCAAAAGTTCAACTTAATGATGACTGTCGTCAGAAAACAAGACACGCTATCTGTGTCAGGGGTGTACACTGTTGAAGGCTACACTACGTTTTACTATGGAAGTGAATAGAGGTGATAATAAATCACTTACAAAATACTGGTTATTTATTTTAAGTTTTTTAAGTTCAACATTCGAACCAGAAGCTGCTCTTTTCAGTGGGACACAAAAACAAAATAATAAATTCTGATGCAAAGTGTAGTTGTTATTATGGGAAGTTGACGTCTCCCAGGCAGGCTCACTGATAATGTGCCTTCATAGAGACTTGGCCACAAGGATTACAAATGCAAAAAGACGTATTTTAGTGATGGTCTGTGGAAAGGGCTGTCATCAACCATCTGCTGACAGGCAGGAAAGAAAATAAGCAAAATCCAATCATTGTCATGGGCTAATGAGTTGCCACAGAACAGTTGGTAATCATAGTTTCCGGGCAGTTTCCTTCAAATCACAGAGGGTTTCTTGATATTTTATGATAATGAGTTTCTCAGTGTTCTGTACTACCCCAGAAAAACAACAATATTAATCCCCAGCCACAGGTAATTGTTCCCAGGGGCAGCACGGAAGAAGCAGGAGTAATTTTAGAGTCATAACAAGTTTGTGATGATAATAGCAATAAGAGTAATATTAAATATAATAAAGAAGAGGAAGAAAATGAAGAATGATAGCAGTAATAATAATAATAATAATTTATTATTGTTGTTAAATTGTTTGAAAGTCCCACATAATACAAGTGGAGGGGTGGTTGCTATGACGATGAAGTGTCATCTCAAGTGGTAGCTGATGGTCTTTCTGTATGAATTTAGCTTTTTATCTAATCTTATTTTATATTCAATAAATAAAAATGGAAATATATATATATATCAGTCTATCTCTTATGTTCACATTTCACCTCTTTGAGGTGATAAATACTGAATGTATATTAATAATTAAATATGTTACAACGAACTAAAAATGCACTTCTGTTTAAATATGTTGAAGATGTATATGTTTTAGATATGTGTTAGTTGAGGTTTAAAAAAACTTCTCTGATATATTTAAAGGGATAATGTTTTTTCTCCTCGCTCTTCAGTCATTCCCATAAACACAGATGCCACTACCACTTTCAGCCATGAACATGGACTTCCGCATTTCCATGCCTGTTAAACGTGACCCGGTATCTTACGTGTGACTGAAAACAGACCAATAAGAACGTCGGACGGAAAGTACGTCGGCGTTCACGTTCACAACAGTCTGTCGTTGCATTCACGAACTGCCGGGAAAAAACGGATTTCAGATGGATTACGTTTAATGTTTGACGAAGCAGGAAGCGATGTACTTCTATTAATTTCTCTAGTGTTAATACGTGGTATTTGTTTGAATAAAAACATAATGTTAATCGTGTGAACAAATGTATACAAAACAATTTGAATAAATATCTACCGATAGTGGATTATTGTGGTTTGATAAAATAATTGCATCCTGCCTCTTAATGTGGCCAAGTTGAATAGGCGGGATTTACGCTTTGCGATCTGTAACATTTTTTTCTTCTGTACTTGAACGCACCTTGTGGCAGGCACTTTGGAGGCGGGGCATGCGCAGTGAGTCAAACTCTTATGAAACAAAGTAGTGCAGCTGCAGAAAACAGGTACAGGGAGACGAGAGAGATTCTCTGGCTGATCTACAGGCAACCGCTAGGCACACGACAATTTCCTGCACACCAAAACCAAAGGAAGATATGCTACTTTCTTTGGGCTTGACATAGATATCACCCCGGCGGAGCCAGCACAAGGTACGGCGGATGGTTTTTGCATCTCTAGTGTTTTAGTTTTAACAGCAAAGTGGCAATATTACTATAAACAGCGCCACTCGTTACATAAGCTTCGCTCTGGTGACCCCGTTTTAGTGTACTGTGCTGTACGTTTATTCCCATGGACTTTAACTTTATCTGAGTTTATATTTCTCCAGACTACCTCGTAAATTTCGCCTTGATAGATTTGTATGTGCAGCTATATCTGTTAATAACTGGCAGTGGCGTATGGATATACTTATCAGTTTCCATTCAGAATAGACGGTGACCTAATTTCCCTTTGGAGAAGTCACAGGAACATACACTGTGACTTGACACTTAATTAGTTACTTTTTATTTATCCTCGGTGTCAAAGCCAGAACTCGTCGTTCCGTTAAAATCACTGCAAATATTGCTATTTAATTATTTAATTAATCCAGCGCCTAAATGGTAATAATAATAATGTAATAACAGTCGTTAGAAAATCAGAATCAACGAACTGTGATTTAACAATTTTTCTTTTTTATTTTAACAGTGAGCTAAAATGACATGTGAATTACTATTTTATTAATCAGTTGATGCAATATAATCACCTACTAATAAGGCCAGTGTTGCAGAATAATATTCTTTAATATTTTTCATTCTTAAGCCACGCAATGATAATATCTATATTATGTCTTCGTTTTGTCTTCGTCTCTTCATTCTTGCTTTCCACAGCGAATATGTCAAAGTGGTGATGTGTATTCAGGTGATAGTTATTAATGTTATTTCACTCTTCATTTCCTGGGTGTCTCTTGAATTGGTGCTTAATGCTGTGTAGTGATTATTAGGTGTGTGTCTAATTTGAACAATGATGTGTTTCTCATATTATTAGTCTTACACTGCAAGCTGTTTCCACCATTTATATAAAATATTTTCAGCATGAGTCCGTTTGTTTGTCTGGTTTTTTTTACACAGGTTAATTAAGCAGACGTCCTATTTTAACCTGTGTGTGAACTGTGAATGAGTAAATTATATTCCAAAACTTAGATTTTTTTTAATTGTGAAAATTACTTTGTGTTAGGGTGACGTCAACAGATTTTTGGTTCATATTGATTACAAATCGTTGTTTTTTTTTCTTTCTTGTGTTTGGAACTAGAAGGTTGGTAACATCAGGACTGTCAGGAAGATTTTATTGAAGCACCTGGTCACTCAAACCAATCTCAGACTCTGAAAACCAAAAATGACAAGAAACCTGTGTCTTGATGTTGTTGTTTTTTTCCTGCAGTTACAGTTTGATATTGACAAAGGCAGAGAGAAACTGCATTAACAACAACAGGAGAATGTCCAGAACACTCAAATGCCTTTTCCTTTGTTTTCTCACAAGGTCCCACTGTCACAGTTTCTGGTAGTTTCATAACACAGCCTGCAGGGGAAGGTCAGAAAACAGTATACGATGCTATATATCTAATTATACCAAGTTAAACTTGACCATAAAAGTTGTTCTGTTCTATTTACAACCCCCCAGCTCTAGTCCTCTAGTCAGGATGCACAGTTAATCAAGTTCTGTTTTGAATCAGCTGAATTAGCTGACCTCTTGGCTGGTCAGCCACTGCTGAAGTGGTCTTTTTTTCCCCGGAAAATTAAAATTGTTGCCATTTCAATAAAACATTTTATTGGCCAAAAATATGAACCGGTTACTAACAGTGGCTCAACACTGTCTGTAAACGCTGTGTTTGGGCTACAGTGACCTGTGTGTGTGTGTGTGTGTGTAATCAAAGCCCTTGTCTTTGTTTGAATCATTTAATAAATGAACTGGCCTCAGGTCACAGTAGAAACACAGGACGGAGAGAAACAGGAAGATATGAAGTGTGTGATATGCAACAATGGATCTTCTGTGTGTGACGGCTGTGTTACACTCACTACACCACTTGGAGGCGTTGTGCCTCTTTTTGACCCAGGTCACCTTTGCATCTCGGGTGAGGCTGCTGCTTTAATTTGGCAGAGGTGCCATCACATGTTGTCACACATGTCGGTGCTGTGGAGCTGAGCTCTGATGCTCGTCTATACAATTGACCATTTGTCAATTTTGTCTGATGAATTGTGCATGTTTCACAGCAACATGAAGAGTAGAAATGATCACAGACCCAACATGGGAACCTGTGATCGCAGATCTGCCTCTAACAGATTTTCACTCAAAGCACTGTATGATTCTGTTTATTTTATAATCTTTATTTAGAATGAGGGATTTTTGTCACAGGAGTTTAAGAATTACTAGGTTCAATAAACAAAATACTTTAACTTTAAAAAGAAAAAAACAACAACTAATAAACACATTCATTCAGGGCTTTTTGCTGCTCATGTGGGTTTGATTTTGGGTTCTTAAGTCAAAACGTCCAGTCCCATCCTTGTGAAGGTCTGCAGTCTTTAAAACACCTTGTAGTTCATTTTGCTGTTATTGTGGATACTTTTTATATTTGTTTAAAAAAGACAAATCTAATCTGTGACTAAACCTGAGTCTAGAATCAAACCTTGTCCTCATCGCATCTGTACCTTCGTCCTTTTTTTAAGAATACCATGGCCCGAAATTCCATCCACTGGTTCCGAAAAGGCCTCCGTCTCCATGACAACCCTGCACTACGGGAGGCTGTTCGAGGTGCAGACACAGTACGCTGCGTTTACTTCTTAGACCCATGGTTCGCAGGCTCCTCTAATGTCGGTGTCAACAGGTGGAGGTAAGAACATTTATGAACATTTTTTAAATCAAACAGGATCCATAGATAGATAGAGATAGACATATGTAAATATATGTGTATATGTGTTAGATGTAGTTTCTAAATCTTGAAATAATAGTTCACAACTATATGAATTTTATAAACAAAAATTCAAAAAAAGGGTGTTAAAAAAGAAATGAGAGAAAGAAGTGACTATACAGTGTTTTTTATTATTATTTATTAGTTTAGTGTCTATTTTTAAATTTATTTTAAATCAACATATATTAAAAGCATTATCTGACCTGACATTGACTTCAGTCTCTGATAAAAGATGCAGAGCAGCAGTACTTTGACCCACAGCATGATGTCAGTGTTTCCTTTAGTATATACTCTATCTGTGTACTCTCTATTTCTATGATTTCATTTGGGTGTTTCATTCTGGTTTGTCATGGAATTAGAGACAAAATGATCATATAACTTAACTTAATGAAATCTTTGTACTTTTGACCCGGTTGTAGCTTCCTCTTGTTTTTTTGTTTTTTTTTATATATAGCTAAAGAACGCCCTGTCTGTTCATATAATCATATAATCATACATTAATTGATCAGATTATACTGATCTATTGGGCTGATTCTCTCTTGTTCCTATGTTGGTTTTACTGCCACAGTGAAATCAAATAAGTCGTAAACGACTGTTTGTGAAGGCGGTGACATACAGGCAGGAAGTGCACATCGGTGACGCACGTATCTTGTTATCCTGCCACAGAATTCACAATCACATTTGTAGGTCACAGGTAATGCAAAAGTAATTGTCAGTTTACTGCCGTGGTTTCTTTGTGGTTGGAGGTCTTCCATTCACATCTTGTTAAAAAAAGTAGGAGGTCATTGTTAAAATGTATCCTCAGTTGTACATGACTGACTTGATAGAAGACAAACTAAAATAGTAATTTAGGTCATTTTATTTAATAACCTGGGTAACTTTTTATTCATTTTATTTAATAACCTGGGTAACTTCTTTTTTTAAAGTGACTGTTGGATACTCTGCATACTTTCATTTAAGTATTGTAACTATTATATATTTAAATGTTTCAACTATACATAGAAACATTGATGAGTTAAATCAGAGCACCAAGAACATGGGTGTCAGCTGCAGTGACACCTGCAGGCCTGTCTAAGATGGACCATCATCCAATTAGCTCTGGTATTGTTTTTAAACCAAGGATTAACTTGTCTTCCAAGTCTTTTAGCTCTGGATTAAGATGTCACTGCAAAAGTGTCTGTAGTTCAGATTCCATTAGTCACCAGTCTGCAGGCCTTGGTCCTGAATCCTCTCTGAAATTTTGTCATTCACAGATCTATTTTATACACTTGTGTGAATTAGCTGCATTTAAACCTGTTTTTTGTACAAGAAATCCACGATCATTCTCATGCAGGTGTGTCATCAATACGCTGTACATTTCATTGATTTTATAATGCTGCGTTTTGAGGCCACCTCTGCTTTGTTGTCTTGACCCATTTTGTCATTCAGTGTTTTGAAGCGTGTCGAGTTAAAGGTCAGACACGATTTTAAAATCCTATTTGGTCCATGTTGAATAACCGTATGCTCCAATTATAAGGAGGGAAAACAGTGCTAAATTCACCTTATTAATTCTACTTAATTATTAAAAACAGACAGGAAAAAGTACTTCTCCTCATGTGATGCTAGAGTTTTAGCGAAAGCTGAAGCTTCAAAGGAAAAGTCGTCAGGAGAATTGGGCTTTTACCTTCCAGTCAAAAATGTGACAATAGTCTGTTGAGCATATGTAGGTTAGTGTGTCACCGCATAAAACTTCTGAACAGTTATGTGATCCTGACCTACTTCAGAGAAGGATTTTCCTGCACGGCCTGTTACTAAAGCGACACACAGTCTAAGACACTGGAAGTGGAGACGCGTTCATGACCACCATGTTGGAAAGACTGTCGCTGGAACAAAAGCCTTGTTGTTATTATTATTTCCTGTTTAAATACATGTACTTAAAGAACTTTAAAGAGTCAAATATGCCAGACTTAGCATTAGTGAAATTTTAGTCCTATTATACCAACGGTGCAAACAGGCAATGAAATATAATAATGAAAAAAACACACTTAATTATAAAAATTATATAGAGTAATAGAAATAAACTGTACTTTTTGACTCGCCGGAGTGTGTGTGTGTGAACTCAGATAAATGACGTAATGTGATGTAAAAGTCTGGCATAAAGGCTAAAATGCTAAAAAATGCTTTTGTCATTTTCTCAGCAATCTCTTGGGTAAATGAGAATTGCAGGGAAAAGGTAGAAGTATAATGATAATTTAAATAAATTCTGTAATTTGTGAAAAGTTGGCGGGCCGGATTAAATAGCTGAACGGTCTGCATCTGGTCCCCGGGCCTTAGTTTGGCCTATGCCTGATCTAAAATCTAGATTGACAAACAGCGGGTGTCAAACTCAATCAGTCAATGGGCTGAAAATTAAACCACCGGGGGCGCCAAACAGGAGGGAGGGGGAGAATAAAACGTGAAGAATTGGTGAGTGTGTGTATCTGTGCGGTCAGTAATCAGGTTACTAGGGTAAGGGATTGTGGTGTGGTCAAGACACTGTATGTTCCTACAGATATAGGTCAGAACAGTTGTATAAGGACTGATGTACTGAATAATGAGGCAGCCTCCAGATGTCCACATGACCGGATGTGCAGCGGTGCACAGGCGGGCTGCCAGCAACGTCCAAAGAATGAAGTCAACTATCCTACACATGCAGCAACAAGCAAATGTTGCTGCAATGTTTCGAAATCACAGGCGTGCACGTTCCCTCACCGTTCTCACATTAGCGCGTGTTTATGTGGACCCACAAATGTGCACGATGCTGCGTATGTGCAGTTTCACCTTTAATAATTATGAAATTGTTGCATGTTTGTGCTTTTCACAAAGAAAAATAACGTGACAATAATCTCTGACGAAGTTTCCATTCTCACCAACCCCAATAAATGGTTGTTTTGGAACAATTCATGCAAAGCAAAAACTACGAGATCGACTAGACTAGACTGCCCTATAGTGGTCCGGCCCTCGACTCAGTGGGCCGGGCAGTAGGGTCAGAAAATCGGGAGCAGACAGGAGGGACACACTGACCTCTGAACGCCTGCTCTGCCTGCAGACTGTTGAGTTATCTGTAATCACGCCTGATTCTGTTAATGGTCAGGTCTGTGGGTCAGACACAACACGCTGAATTAGTCCAGGCTGTTGATGCGCAACTCTGTCTCTCTGGTGACATGCAGAAACATGCAGTGGAAAATAGTGGAAAAGTCTAAGTCATATATTTACGTCATCCGTCTGATGAGCACACTGAGCAAACTGAACGTCATCAGTGACCTTCAAACAGAGAGATACGCGAGATATTAATAACTGCCCTTATTGAGGAAATGTAAGTCATACTTCCGAATTACTCAAAAGCAAAGGAACGTGGCTTTATTCAACCCTAACCCTTAGACTGTGCACGAGCACATTTTACAGGGCAGTGGTGGCTCAGTGGTTAAGGAAGCAAACTTGGGTCCTGTCGCCACTTACGTTACCTGGTAGGAAGTATGGCCATGCTCTGAATTTTTAACTGTCAGTATTTACATAAAAGACTATTTCACTGTGAACTTTTGCTCAAAAAATAAGTCTAACATTAAATAAAAATGAGGAAGTGGCCCAAGCTTCAATTCCAAATGTTTTGCTTCCATCCATTCATCCATTTTCATCCGCTTTTCCGTTACTGATTGAACACACTGTTCCTGCATCAATGAGTCTTTGAACATCGACTGCAGTTTTAAAACCACATTGACTTTTAATTTCCAGAAAAATGGATGGAATGTTCATTTTGGAAAACTTAAGTTTTTTTTCTCCCCTCTTCAGGTTCCTCCTGCAGTGTTTGGAAGATCTGGACGCCAGCCTTCGCAAGCTCAACTCTCGCCTTTTTGTCATCAGGGGCCAACCTGCCAATGTTTTCCCACGGCTTTTCAAGGTCAGTGCACGTGAAAATGTACACTGTTGTGTTGTTCATAAACACAGTTTCTGTCAAATTAGACAGAAATGCCGTCCGTTGGTAGGTGAAAGGAACTCTGTGTCTGTTTTTAGGAGTGGAAGATCTCTCGACTAACCTTTGAATACGATTCCGAGCCTTTTGGCAAGGAGAGAGATGCTGCCATCAAGAAGCTGGCCATGGAGGCCGGAGTGGAGGTCAATGTCAAGATATCGCACACACTCTATGACCTCGACAGGTGAGTCACTGGCACAGTACCAGTAGTATTGGTGCACAGCTTAGGTCTATAGATCTGGTCGACAGAGATATCCCATTAGGAGGTCTTAATTCTACCTTCAGATGTCCATACCTCTAAGTCTGGTATCTGAGCTGATTGATAACACACAACCGATCTGTGTGAAGCCCATGTTTTTTTTTAACACTGCCATCTTGTGGCCTGAGAGCACATCACCTGTCAGAGCCTGGAAAGACATGGAGTTTGAAACAAAGCTCTAGTTCGTGCTTAGTTAGGAAAAAGAAAACATTTGCAGTCCTTCATCTGTATTTCTGCCGTCCCTAGGATCATCGAGCTGAACGGCGGGCAGCCTCCTCTCACTTACAAGCGTTTCCAGACGCTGATCAGTCGACTGGATCCTCCTGAGATGCCTGCTGAGACGATGACTGACTCCACCATGGGTGGCTGTGTGACACCCATCTCAGACGACCATGGAGACAAATATGGAGTTCCATCCCTGGAGGAACTAGGTGAGAAAGCAGTTTCTTTACTGGTATTTTGAGTTCACAAAATAACTTTAGGTAAATTATGATTTGCAAACAATTGTACAGTAATTCAATTTTGGCATTATTTATAGAGTTATACAAAACAAGCAAAACTTCCTTCAGGTTTCCTTAAGACTTTCCAGTCATTAGCCTTTGTTGAACACTGAAACTAGTTACTCCGTTTAAAAGTAAAGCTCCTTGGAACACTCACTCTCTATTGGATTAATTAGCTGACAGATTTCCTGTGTGATTTTTCTTTCCATTCACATAAGTCCATTTATATATCTGGCATTGCGTCAGCCATCTGCTACTAACACCTGTGCTACTGTTTTAGCAATGACTAAGATATTTAAAGTTTTAACTCTCTGTCACGGCAGGTGTCTGGCTTCTCCTTTTAAAGGTTTAATCTTCACCAGCTGCTGTGTGTTATCTAAAATAGCCAAGTAACGTGTTTCATCCCAGTAACATTGAGTCTGTCCAGCTCTCTGGTGTCCATTCACAAAAGGCTACTGTCCAGACTGATTGGAGATCAGTTTCCTTGGCCTGAAGAAAGATTTTTTTTCCTCTAAACATGCTTTAAAATTTTAATATTTAAAATTTTGACCATTGCATTTCCTTTCGAATGACAATAATTTCCTGCGTCTTCAGCAACTTTTTATGGTATGTTAGGGTTATTATCTGCTTGGCTAATCATAAGAACAAGGGCTGTCAAACCAGAATATGAATGAAAAATGTAATCTGATCATTATCTGGTAGCTGTGGATTAATCTAGATTAATCATAATTATTATAATTGTAATTAATCATGTAGGTGAATCATCGTTTCTAAATGTTTAATGCTGTTTTAGGCTTCGACACTGAGGGCCTGCCTACTGCTGTGTGGCCAGGAGGGGAAACTGAGGCTTTGACCAGGATTGAGCGCCACCTTGAAAGAAAAGTGAGTACTGCTACCCTTGTGTTTGTTGGTTTTACTTGCTCTTAAATGGTATAATATTTGTCTGAATAAAGCTAAATTAGTGTTTTCTCACTTTTCCAGGCTTGGGTGGCGAATTTCGAGCGTCCTAGAATGAACGCCAACTCGCTGCTAGCCAGTCCAACGGGCCTCAGCCCCTACCTACGCTTTGGCTGCCTTTCCTGTCGCCTTTTCTACTTCAAGCTCACTGACCTCTACCGCAAGGTTATCTTATGTTTTTGTTTTTTTAAAACCATTTCAGTGAATGTGTATGTTCTCAGTCATCCGGGTCATTTTTAAAGAACTTCAGTGGATTCTGTTCTCAAAGACAGAAACATCTGGCTGTAAATATATGTACAGATTATTATAACAAGTGAAACACACCTACAAGGTTGACTGAAGTTTCATTTGTTTTGTTTGATTCGTAGGTAAAGAAGAACAGCTCCCCTCCGCTCTCTCTGTATGGTCAGTTATTGTGGCGCGAGTTCTTCTACACCGCAGCGACCAACAACCCGCGCTTTGACAAGATGGAGGGGAACCCCATTTGTGTGCGCATCCCCTGGGACAAAAACCCTGAGGCACTTGCCAAATGGGCAGAGGCTAAGACAGGCTTTCCCTGGATCGACGCCATCATGACTCAGCTGAGGCAGGAGGGCTGGATCCATCACCTGGCCAGACACGCGGTGGCCTGTTTTCTCACCAGGGGTGACCTTTGGATCAGCTGGGAGGAAGGAATGAAGGTGAGGCACTCAAACCTGTGTTAGACATATCACCAAACACCTCACCATCTTGTCTGTTCAAATTTCTTATTCGTCCAGGTCATGTCCTGTCCATAGGGTTTAGTTGAAAGACGTGAGGAGCTGATGAAGTTCCTCAGTTGAGGAACTAAACGTCTTTCAAGCTCAAAGAAGAAGTCCAGTTGCTCTGTGGACCACACCATTTTAATTACATTCATTTCCTATGGGCACTTATATTCCATTACCAGTATGAAACCTGTTCAGTTGAACACAAGAGTGAATACAACAGTATTTAAATGTTCTGCGTGTCACTGTTGCATAAACAAAGACAAATGATTTGCACAGGTGTCAAACTCAGGCCCGCGGCCAAATCTGGCCCCTGGTGTAATTATATTTGGCCCGTGAGATCATAACAAATGTGTATTAGAGTTGACCTGCCATAATATAGCCACTATATACTGGCAGGGTTTGTAGTATGAGTGATGTGTGCACCATATTATAGCATACACATTTTTGGTTGTCTTCTGTTGGCCTGTAAAAAGATTTATGTTGAATGGGAACTCAAAAGGCTAGAGACAGAGAAAGACATGATGTCACTGATGTTTGTCTCATTTCAAATGTCTGTGTAGGTTCTCAGTCATCCAGGTCATTTAGTCCAATAATAGTTACATCGAGGGCAACTGGACGAAGTAGGTTTTTTCACCTCTCATCCTTCAGTTCTGACTGACTACTGGGAAATTCTGGTATTGGAGAGTGACACCATCACTATGAACTTATACAGTAGTTTCACCTGAAACTATTAGAAACTATTAGTCCACAGCTATGGCATCACTCTCTTGCCCTCTCTTGCCTTGCACCAAAGTATGTGGGTGTTGAACTGTGTGTGGCTCCCTGCAGGTCTTTGAGGAGTTGCTGCTGGACGCAGACTGGAGCGTGAACGCAGGCAGCTGGATGTGGCTGTCCTGCAGTTCATTTTTCCAACAGTTTTTTCACTGCTACTGCCCTGTGGGCTTTGGGAGGCGTACTGACCCTAATGGGGACTTCATCAGGTGGGTACATTTCCTGGTATCGCCCCCTTGGTGCCCACAGCATCGAGGGGTGCCCCTCCCCACCCCACACATCCTTACTCCACTCAGTGTGAGTAGCTCCTCCTCCTCCTCTTCCTCTTCCTCCTCCTTTTTCTTTGTCTTCTGTACTTTGTTTTTGGTCTGCACACCAAAGGTAATCGTAGTCGACCTGAGAGCTAAAGATCTTAAACCTTTGTACATCAAGCATATGTAGTACTGACGTCATGATGTGGTCACTACTGGGTCACATCCTAATGCCTACCTCAGTATATGTTAAATGATGTTACCTTTAAAAATGACCTTTAAAGTTTTAGCATCGATACAGACAGAAACACACACACATTCACATAAACATAATCCATAACCCCATTATAACAGATATAAGATATAACACAATATATGTCTAACCTTAATCCATACCTTTATTGTTAACTCAATTAAAATTCACAGTCAGTCAAATTAAATGTCCCATAAAGGACAGTGTCCCCATGGTAAGAGTCCCCACAAGTGTAGGTAAACCAGAAACACACACGCACAAATGTGCATTTTTTTTCAAGTTGGTGTGACAAAGAGTGTGAGTTTTGGAGACATTTGGACGAGTGAATGAAAGTATGAACCTCTTTTCCTTCTTCTCTTTTTATTCTGGCTTATGATCCATTTTCTTTTCTGTCAAAATTTCAACTCCTTGTTTTTAAACGGAGTTTTTTTTTTGTAATATTTTTATAGTGTCCTCAGTGCACTTTTTTGCGTGTCTTTACTTGTTGTGACTATCCGTTTGGTGGTTTTGTGCGTATCTCTAGTTTATATGATTGTTATCAACAGATGATCTTTTTTATTTATTTTTTTAACTGACAAGGCCTGGATTTGTTCTTCTCTTTTTCTGGATGTTGCTCTGTGTTTGTGTTTTGGATCATTTGTTCTTGGGGGGATTGGGGGAAAAGTTCATCTATCCCTCTTCCCTTCGGAGGTTGTAGCTGATTGCTTTTAAGTTGATTGGCTGTTCTCACGCCCCTCCACCCAGGTGTAGCCAGGCTTTCAGCCGGGGCTGCCGTGGATGGATGACGGTGTTTGAGTTGGGACTTAAGTCATTGTTTGTTTATATTGACCTGTACAACCCTGAGGGACGGGACTTTGCTCACGCCCCAGCAACACCCTCTGGGCAGGTTTGTAACTCGGTAGCGTCTCATTCCGTCAAAAGGGATTCTGACCGCTTGGTAGGGAAATGCCAACGCCACGCCTGCATTCGTTAGGTAGAGGACTATGAAGCATTCCCCGGAGGGTAGTGAGGAGAGGCATTGGACCAGCTGTAGCTCTGCCACCGCAGTGTTGCACAGGTGGCACAGGTACTCGCTACCTGTGCTGTGCCACGCGAGTGGGTTCATTGTCCAGGCGCTGGGCAAAGCCCCTCATCCAGCCCTTTGTGAAATGTTCAGTGGTGCTCTGCTTATGTGAATGCAGCCCTGTCAGTTCAGGTGGACCTGGAGCAGTGGTTGGCTAATACAGGCACACACACACACACACACACATTTAGATTCCACCAGAGTATAGATAAGAGACACTTCATCAAAGACAGCATTTTCACAAATCTACATGTAATAATTACAAAACTATTAGTCAAAATACATCATTTTCTGACTAATACATAAGAACACATGAATGATCTCCTTGTCAAACACACACTTCATCACACCCACCTGCTCATACACCACCCCCTGTCTTCTGAAGGACTGCTTGTGACTGGCAGGTCGCGGGTCTTCCTGGCAAAAGGGTTGTGGTCCCTTTTGGTGAAATGAGGGAGCCCCCTAGTGGGCCAGCCCAGAGTGTGGTGCTGTGGCTGTGGGAGGGGACAGTCGGCAGGGAGGCCTTGGGCCCGCTGACCACTTAAAGACAACCACCACACTCTGAGGGACCGGGGGAGCAGGCATGAGCTCTTTTCTCAGTCCACCACT